CTATTAATGGTAGTCAAAACTCTCTAGACCACCTGCCCTACTACTCTGTTATGGTTCAACAAAAGACTCCCTTGTGTTGCTTCTTCCCATATCTAGAGTTACACTATTACAATAATTAATCTCACATAGAACTATATATTTGATTTCAAGGCACTTAGTCATCATTTTTATCAAAGACTTAGTCACATATTTGGTAATGCAGGAAACAACAATCTTATAAAATAGGCAGAATACAAGTAAATATAGCTAGTAGAATTAATAAGGTCCTAAGGAAGAATTTAAGCCAAGCACTTTGATTGGGCATAGCCCAGTATCCCCCGAAGTCCTTTGACTCAGTCTGTTCTATACTAATCACTATCGTTAAAGGTAATATCATTCGCGTCCTGGTGTGGATGTAGCTTCTCCTCTGTTAGAGCATTGTTTTAAGGTGATTTTGAGGTCAGCAGTCCTCTTTATAGACCAGTCTGATGCAGAGGCCCCTTTTAAAGTGAGAAATATGAATCCAGGAGTTAGTTTTGCTGCACATGAGTTAAGAGGAATTAGTTAAGAGTGCTTGGTAAGGGTCTTTTCATCTAGGATGGAGTGAGTCCTTTAAATGATGTTTATTTCAGTATACATAATCTCCTCATTGTAGTTCATGAGACATCTGATCTTCATTCAAAGATAGATTAATGTGCTAAGCTTCAGAAACAAGTTTAGAATGTCCTTTTAATAAACTAAACTTTATAATAATGTAACATAACAACAAGAAACTGTCTGGAAAGGGAGTCTTAGGCAGTAAATACAGCACTAGAATCCAACATCCACTGAAACATCTTTTTGCCTATGAAGTTACTTTCAATTCTAGCAAATATGACCAAATTAAGACTAATTTGTTTGCAAAATAAGTGGTTTCAGTAAATGTGGCCAGATTATTTACATAAGTGTAATTGATCATACAGACTCTTTAAAATTGGCTTTGCTGAAACTTTTCATAAGGAATCTTAGGTTGAATTTTTTTGTATATATATATTTTTATAATGTCAATTTCTGGTGTACAGCATAATGCTTCAGTCATACATGAACATACATATATTCCTTTACATGTGGTGAAAAAGAATAGGTTATTACAAGATACTGAATATAGTTCCCTGTGCTATACAGCATGAACTTACTGTTTATCTATTTTATATATATTTATTAATATCTACAAATCTCAAACTCCCAATTTATCCCTTCCCACACCCTTCCCCCACCCGGTAACCGTAAGTTTGTTTTCTATGCCAGTGAGTCTATTTCTGTTTTGTAAATAGGTTCGTTTGCCTTTTTATTTTTTTAGATTTCACATATAAATGATACCATATGGTATTTTTCTCTTTCTGGTTTACTTCACTTAGAATAACAATCTCTAGGTCTATCTATGTTGCTGCAAATGGCATTATTTTATTCTTTTTTATGCCTGAGTAGTAGTCCATTGTATAAATAGACCACTACTACTTTATCCAGTCATCTGTCGATGGATATTTAGGTTGCTTCCATGTCTTGGTTATTTTTAATAGTGCTGCTATGAACACTGGGGTGCATGTATCTTTTTGAATTAAGATTCCCTTTGGATATATCTCCAGGAGTGGGATTGCTGGATCATATGGTAAGTCTATTTTTAGTTTTTTGAGGAATCTCCATACTGTTTTCTGTAATGGCTGCACCAAACTACATTCCCACCAGCAGTGTAGGAGGGTTGCCTTTGTACCACACCCTCTCCAGGCTGAATTTTTAAAAGGCCTCTCAAGGTCAAGAAAGCCATGCCAAGGGTTTGTCATCCAATTTGCCTGCAGTATCTATAGATTTGGGTCAATTCCTGTCTTCTCGAGGTCCCCCAAATATCTTGAGATTTCTGTGCATGTCAGTAGGTGGCCTTCCTTATTCACCTGATAAGACTGCAGGGAACCTAAGAGTTTCCAATGTCTGGAGGGATCAGAGAGAAAATATGTGTTTCAGTTTTGCTTCCAAAAGTGTAATTTACCAAATTACTATACGTCATAAATAGTGTATGGGGAAAGATTTCCTTATATCTGGAAAACAGATTAAAAGTCAGTAATATTTTTTAAAAATTAAAATTATAAACATATTCATCAGTTCACTTAGTCCTATGTAACTAATTCTTGTCTTTTGTTAAGTTTTATGAAGCCAATGAGGTTTCCATTAGAATGCTTTAATTTCTTACTCAGTTCAGCAATATGATCAGAAATTTATCATAAACCTGTACTTGTCAAAAACTCCTAAAAAGCTGGAACTCCATATAATTTCTAGAATATCTGTATTAATGCCATTTACCTATATAGTATAACCTAAGGAGATTTATGCTACACATGTGATAATGCTTCCCATATAATTTAACATACTAAATAAGCCTGATTAGTTTAATGTCTCTCTCTGATAAGGCGAGAATTCTCTTGAGCTGTTCCGGGGACCTTTTGAAAACCTCAAAGTTTGCTACATCAAATGAACTTCACAAAGAATCTGATCTTTGGGAAATTTGTCAAAAGTATTAAAAAGTGTTTTTTCATTTTAAAAATTTTATTGAAGTATTGGTTTTCAATGTTGCATTAGTTCCTGGTGCATATCAAAGTAATTCAGATAGGGATATAGATAAATTCTTTTTCAGATTCTTTTCCAGTATTATAAGGTAGTGAATGTAGTTCCCTGTGTTGTATAGTAGGACTTTGTTTCTCTGTTTTATACATGGTAATGTGTATCTGTTAATTCCAAGATCCTAATTTATCTCTCCCCCTCTTCCTTTTGGTAAGCATAAGTTTGTTTTCTATGTCTGAGTCTGTTTTATAAATACATTCATTTGTATCATTTTTTTAGATACCACATGTAAATATTATCATATAATTTGTCTTTCTTTGACTTCACTTGATATGATAAACTCTTAAGTCCACCCATGTTGTTGCAAATGGCATTAATTCATTTTTTATGGCTGAGTAGTATTCTAGTGTGTGTGTGTATATTCTTTATCCATTCATCTGTTGATGGACATTTAGGTTGCTTCCATGTCTTGGCTATTGTAAATAGTGCTGCTATGAACAGTGGGATGCATGTATCTTTTCAAATTAGTCTTCTCTGGATGTATGCCCAGGAGCGGGATTGCTGGGTCATACGGTAACTCTTATTTTTAGTTTTTTAAGAAGCCTTTATATGGTTCTCCACAGTGGCTGCACTAATTTACATTCCTACCAACAGTGGAAAAGTGTTCCCTTTTCTCTACACCCTTCCAGCCTATATTACTTGTAGACTTTTTGATGATGGCCATTCTGACTAGTGTGAGGTGATACCTCATTATAGTTTTGATTTGCATTTCTCTGATAATTAGAGATGTTGAATATTTTTTTCATGTGCCTGTTGGCCATCTGTATGTCTTCTTTGGAGAAATGTCTATTTAGGTCTTCTGCCCATTTTTTGATGGGGTTTGGTTTTGTTATTGAGTTGTATGAGCTGTTTTTATATTTTAGAAATTAAGCCCTTATTGGTTGCATCACTTGCAAATATTTTTTTCCCATTCTGTAGGTTCCCTTTTTGTTTTGCTTATGGTTTCCTTTGCTGTACAGAAGCTTATAAGTTTGATTAAATCCCTTTTGTTTATTTTTGTTTTTTTTTTTCATTAGGAGACTGACCTAAGAAAACATTGCTATAGTTTGTTTTGCCAATGTTCTCTTGTAGAAGTTTTGTGGTGTCCTGTCTTATATTTAAGTCTTTAAGCCATTTTTGAGTTTATTTTTGTGTATGGTGTGAGGGAGTGTTCTAACTTCATTGATTTACATACAGCTGTCCAGCTTTCCCAACACCACTTGCTGAAGAGTATCTTTTCTCCATTGTACACTCTTACCTCCTTTGTTGAAGATTAATTGACTGCAGGTGTGTGGGTTTCTTGGCTCTACTCTGTTCCATTGATCCATATGCCTGAAGTCTGGGAGGGTTGTCTCCAGCTTTGGTCTGTTTCCTCATGGTTGCTTTGGCAATTGAGTCTTTTGTTGTTCCATATTAATTTTATGATTATTTGCTCTAGTTCTGTGAAAAATGTCATGGGTAATTTGATAGGGATTACATTAAACCTGTAGATTGATTTGGGTAGTATGACCATTTTAACAATATTAATTCTTCCAATTTGAGAACATGGGATATCTTTCCATTTCTTCACTGGGGAATTCTACCAAACATACAAAGAACTTATCCTGATCCTTCTCAAACTCTTCTAAAAGATTGAAGAGGAGGAAAACACCCTCAAAGTCATTCTGTGAAGCTACCATCACTCTGATACCAAAACCAAATACACTACCAAAAAAGAAAAAAAAATTACAGGCCAATATTTTTGATGAATATATAGATGCTAAACTCAACAAAATATTAGCAAACTGAATCCAGCAGTACATACAAAGGATCATACACCATGATCAGTTGGATTCATCCCAGGGTCACAAGGATTGTTCATATGCAAATCAAACGATGCGATACACCACATCAACGAAAGACAAAAACAACATGATCATCTCAATTGATACAGAAAAACCATTTGATAAAAATTCAACATCCATTCATGATAAAAACTCAACAAAGTGGGTATAGAAGCAACATAGCTCAGCATAATAAAAGCTATTTATGACAAACCCACAGCCAACATAATATTCAATGATGAGAAGCTGAAAGCCCTCCTGCTAAAATCTGGAAGACAAGGATGCCCACTCTTACCACTTCTATTCAACACAGTATTAGAAGTTCTAGCCACCGCAATCTGATAAGAAAAATAAATAAAAGTTATCTAAATTGGAAGGGAAGAGGTAAAACTTTCATTATATGCAGATGACATGTTACTTCATAAAGAAAAGCCTAAAGACTCCACACAAAAACTATTAGAACTGATAAATGAATTCAACAAGGTAGCAGGATACAAGATTAACATACAGAAATGTGTTGCATTTCTTATTTCATTGTTAGTATAATCAGAAAGAGAAACTAAAAAAAAAAAAATCTTAAAATTGCACCAAAAAATAAAATAAAATACTTAGGTATAAACCTGACCAAGGAGTTAAAAGACTTGTATGCTGAGAAGTATAAAACATGATAAAGGAAACTGAAAATGATTCAAAGAAATGGAAAGATACCAAAAAAACTTGGCAAAATAGGATCACAGGTCATTATGTAACACTTACTCACTTAACCAAAGTGACAATAAAGGATTTCAAAAGCAAATATGGAAAATTACAATAGATTACTTAACAGATTATAAAATTCTTTACCTTGCATCAAAAGCAGATCAACATTCCAAGAAAACTCTTAACAGAGAGAGAATCAAATTCAGGTTTTGTACCATTTAACCTTTAATTGAAAGGTAAAATTTTAAATTTTACTTAAAATCTATTTACTCAAATTTATTCTAATCTTAGTCCTGACCACACACAGAATTCCTTCATATTCTTTTTTATTCCCTCATAAGCCTCCTCCAACTTTCTATATTCATATTAATTTGTCCCTTATTTTCTTTCTTGTTTGTTTAGATATAAACAGCTTTAGGACAAAATTACCTTCTTTCCCTTAACAAAATGCATTTTTATTTCTTATGCCTTTTTTCTTGCATACAAAGATGTTTTCCTTAAACCTTAATTTTTAGTAAAGACTAAGAAGTATGCAATTATGAATTGTCTTTTACATTAGCATTCTTAGATTGGCAAACTTATAAATATTTATCATTTCTAAAAACGTGCTCTCTTAACAGAAAATGTCTCAGTGTAGCACAAATTATATTAATGATCATAAATATCTGTAGTCTCCCTGTAAAAGGAAGCCAATGTTCAGTAATTAATATTTTATTTGGGAATTATTCACTAAACTTAACATCACCTAATTTAATTTAACAAAACTCTAAAGTTTTAAGTTGCTAAAAATCTGGAGAAACTATTTTTAAATAGATATTCCTAAAACATAATTATTCCTAGAGTTTACCTAAAAGCTCTCATCTTATTTACATTTAACTTATAAAAAATTCATCAGACTGAGTTACTACGTCTGTTGCAAAGATTATCAGCAAGAAAAATAACACCTTATTTCACTTCCAGTAAACCTAGGTACAATAAAAATATTATACTTAATGCTGATGACTCTAGAGACATGTTTGTATTAATTAAACCAAAAATGTAAAGTTAGTTTTATACCAAAATACTAATTTAATACTGAATATTTCCCAGATCACATGAACTGTAAATTCATTTGGGTTGCCTGTTTTATATTTCTGAGAATTTATATAAATGCCTAATTTCCTTTACGGCAATTAGAGTTAAGTAACAAATTAATTTTGGTAAAACTGTCCAGAGGTGAAGACATATCTGTAATGTACACACAGACGTAGATACATCCATATAGACACAAAAAACTCAGTTTCATTTCAAAATTTAGTTATGAATCAGGTATTATAATGTAAAACTCACTCATTTTATAAATAACAGTTGGAATAAGTTAAGTTTACTCACTTGAGTTTAGAAAGTCCTCTTTACCCCTCCCCTTTTTCTTAGTCTCAGGAATGGGAAATGGTCTAGATGAAAGAGTTACTGAGAGCCCTAGTAGAACATTTACATCTCACATGACAGGGAGAGAAATGCAAATTCCTTTTAGCAAGACTTGTTCCCTTAGGATCAGAGTTTTTAAGAGAGCCTTTGCTCCAGCTCTCTCTAGCTTTCTTTCTGTTCCCAAAGCCCTAGTCATGGTCTTCTTCACCCTGCCAACCTGGTTTCTTTGGGAGGTCACCAAAGCTCTCCTGGATGTTGGATACTGCTAGGGGTGTCCTTCAGCCTGCAGTGCTTGCATCCTTCTTTTGAGCTTTACGACTGCTCTGAGTGAAAATGGCCGTCTAGGCTAAAATGTGGCAGAAGGGACCACGCTGTGGATATAAAGCCTGTTAAGCCCAACTCATAAGCTATGAGACCTGGAGGTGATAGAGGAACATGTTCCAAACAAAGAAACTAGAGAAAATCCCAGAAGAAGGCAATCTACTTGGAAAGCATTCAAGGTAATATTTGTAAAGATGATCAAAGAACTCAGGAGAAGAATGGATGAACAGAGTGAGAAGTTACAAGTTTTTAAAAGAGAGATAATAAAAAGAACCAAATAGAGATGAAGAATACAATAACTGAATTTAAAAATACACTGGAAGGAATCAATAGCAGATTAAATGATACAGAGGAACAGAGCAGCAAACTGGAAGTAAGAGTAATGGAAATCACTGAAACTGAACAGAAAAAAGGAAAAAAAAAAAAAAAACAAAGTTCAAGAGACTTCTAGGACAACACCAAGCATAGCAACATTCACATTACTGGGTTCCCAGAGGAGAAGAGAGAGAAAGAGAGCAGAGAATAAATTTAAATAAAGATACAATAGCTAAAAACTTCCCTAACCTGGGAAAGGAACCAGACATCCGGGTCCAGGAAGCACAGAGAATCCTGAACAGGATCACTCCAATGAAGTCCATATCAAGATACACTGTAATTAAAATGGCAGAAATTAAAGACAAAGAGAATATTAAAAGCAGTGAGGGAAAATCAATAAGATACATACAAGGGAACTCCAATATGGCTATGACCTGACTTATCAGCAAAAATTCTGCAGGCCATAAAGAAGTGGCATGATATACTTAAATTGATGAAAGGGAAAACCTGGAACCAAGAATACTCTACCTGGCAAATTTGATGGAGTGATCACAAATTTTACAGACAAGCGAAAGCTAAAACGGGCTGAGCACCACTAAACCAGCTTTGCAACAAATGTTAAAGGGATTTCACTAAGCAAACAAGAAAAGGCCATAGTGAGAAACATGAAAATTATAAAAGGCAAAAGCTCACTGGTAAAGGAAAATATACAGAAAAGGTAGTAAATCAACCACTTACAAGGCTAGGAGGAAGGTTCAAAGATGAAAGTAGTAAAGTTATCTATATTTCCCAATAAGTAGTTAAAACACAAAACAAAAAATATAAAATTTGATGTCAAAAACAGTCATGTGGGGAGGAGAGTAAAAATGAAGGATTGTTAAAATGCATTTGGACTTAAGATATCAGCAACTGACCTTAAAATTACCATATATAAATATATATTATATACATATATATATGGTTATCATATGTATATATAAACTCCATGGCAATCACAAATGAAAAACTATAAATACACACACAAAAGGGAGAAAGAAATCTAAACATAACACTGAAAGTCATCAAATCACAAGGGAAGAGGACAAAAGAAGAAGAAAGGAACAAGCACAAAAACCCAAACAATTAACAAAGTATCAGTAAGTATGTTAAATGTAAATGGACTCAATGGTCCAATCAAAAGACAAGAGTGCTGAATGAATACAAAAATGACTCATAGATGTGCTGCATACAAAAACTCACTTCAGATCTAAAAAACACACAGACTGAAAGTGAGGGGATGGGAAAAAGCCAAGGTACCAAAACTTAAAAGTAGACTTTAAAACAAAGACTGTAACAAGAGCCAAAGAAGGACATTACATGCTGAACAAGGGATCAATCCAAGAATATATAACCATTGTAAATATATGTATAGTATGTATGTGTATATATATACACACACACACCACAGTTAAATGAGATTTATCCCAGGGATGCAGGGAAGGTTCAGTATCTGCAAATCAATCAATGTGATAGACCACATTAACAAATTTAAGGATGAAAACCTGATCATCTCAATAGATTCAGAAAAAGCTTTTGACAAAATTTAACATCCATTTATGATAAAAACTCTACAAAGTGAGTATAGATGGAACATATCTCAACATAAGAGAGGCCATATATAATGAACCCAGAGCTAAAATCATACTCAATGGTGAAAAAGTTGAAAGCATTAGCTCCAAAATCAGGAACAAGACAAGGGTGCATACTCTTGCCACTTTTATTCAGTAGAGCATTGGAATTCCCAACCTCAGCAGTAAGACATAAATAAATAAGGAATACAAATTGGAAAGGAAAAAGTGAAACAGTCACTGTTTGCAAATGATACAATATTACATGCAGAAAATCCTAAAGATGCCACTATAAAAACTATAAGAGCTCATCAATGAGTTGGGTAAAATTGAAGGGTACAAAGTTAATATATAGAAATCTACTGCATTCTCTACACTAAAAACAAACTATCAGAAATGGGAAGTAAATAATCCCATTTACAACTGCATCAGAAAGAATAAAATACCTAGGAATAAATCTAACTAAGGAGTAAAAGACCTATACTCGGAAAAGTATCAGACACTGATGATAGAAATTGAGGACAACACAAATGAAAAAATATACCATGTTCATTAAGTAGAAAAGTTAATATTGTTAAAATGATTATACTACCCAAGGCACTCTACAGATTCAGTGCAATTCCTATCAATATACCAATGGTATTTTTCACAGAAATGGAACAAATAATTAAAAAATGTATATGGAAACAAAAAACACCCCAAATAGCCAAAACAAAGATGGGAAAGAAGAACAGAGCTAGAGGAATCATGCTCCCTGAACTCAGACTATAGTAAAAGCGATAGTAATCAAAACAGTGTGGTACTGGCACAAAAACAGACACATAGATCAGTGGAACAGAAATAGCCCAGAAATAAACCCATGCACTTATGGTCTATTAATCTATGAAAAGGAAGTAAGATTACACAATAGGAAAAGAGAGTCTCTTCAATATGTAGTGCTGGAAAAACTGGACAGCTACATGTAAAAGAATGAAATTAGAACATTTTTAACACCTTAAAAAAAAAACTGAAAATGAATTACATACCTAAATGTAAGACTGGGAACTATAAAGCTCCTAGAAGAAAACATAGGTGTAACACTCATTGACATAAATCACAGATCCAAAAAAAAAAAATACTGCTATCTCCTAGGGCAAAGGAAAGAAAACCAAAAATAAACAAATGGGACCTAATTAAACATAAAGCTTTTGTACAGTAAAAGAAACCATTGACAAAACAAAAAGGCAACTTCTGAATGTGAGAAAATATTTTCAAATAATATGACCAACAAGAGGTTAACATCCAAAATAATTTATACAACTCAGAATCAAAAAAACCAAAGAACCCAATTGAAAAATGGGCAGAATACCTGAATAGACATACATGCACCCCAATGTTAAATAACAGCAGCATTATTTATAATAGCCAATATATGGAAGCAATCTAAGTATCAATCAACAGGTAAATGGATAAAGAAGATATAATATACATATATATACACACATATATAATGGAATATTACTCAGCTATGAAAAGAATGAAATTTTGCCTTTTGTAGTAGTATGGATAGGTCTGCAGGATATTATGCTTAGTGAATTAAGCCAAAGTAAGACAAATATTGTTATCATTTATATGGGAAATCTAAAAAATAAATAAATGAATGTAACCAGATATAGACTCACAGATTTAGAGAACAAACTAATGGTTATCAGTGGAGTGAGGGAATGGCAGAAGGGCAAGATAGAGGTGTTAAGAGATACAAAATATTAAGTATAAAATAAATAAGCTACAAGGCTGTATCATACAGCATAGAGAATTCAGGGGAAAAACAATTCTGAAAAGATGTTTTATCAAGCCAGGAAAACTAGTTTTGGAATTTCAAAAAGAAAGAGCCCCATCTTGGCCATTTTCAGGGTGAAATTTCCTTCAGTTTTCAATTAAGGAAATACTTGTCATTTTAATTTTTATATATACAGAAGCCTGGCTGGGTTGTTAGCTGGAGGAAGGCTTTCTGATGTCCATCATTTCTTTGTTTGAGAAACTCTTTTTTCCAACTTTAAAGTAGAATTTGTTGGGGTTAAAATTTACTAATGAAATTTGCGTGTTGGGCAAATGTGCTGCTTTTGAGCTTACCTCCTCTAGGTGTCACCACAGAGTTACTTCAGCTCTTTCACATGTCTGTTTTTCTCTCCAGTAGTTTAAAGCTGTCTTGGGCGTTGGGGTCACTGAGTGGCCAACTCTCATACTTGGTTCCCAGAAAAACAAGTATTTAATTATGGGACCATTGCACAGTATGGTCCTCCACCACTCCTGTAAATTTCTTGGTTGCCTGAGAAAGCGATAACCAACCAGGAGGTTCCTTGTCCCTCTTCTTTGGAGAACAGCTCTCATCTGGTATTTCCACTTTTATCCTAACAAATTCTGTTAAGGTAGACAAACTGAGGAAAGACGTCAGGTCAGCTCCTACCTAATTACCCAGTCCAAGTCTGCTTTGTACTATAAAGCTGACCAAAATCATCTCAGTTGTTTCTCAACTGAGCAGAATCATCCCCGTATTTCTCAATTGGGGGTAATCTCGGTATCTTTCAGCTGAGCAATATAGAGGCACCTCTTCTTGAACCCAAATTCAAGTATAATCTACTCCTCATAGTGAAGAGTTTAACCACCTCTGAATAAATTCAGAATCTTTAACCAGAAGTAAGAGATCTGGTACCAAGAGAGACTTACCATGGAGGCTGATGAGCACAGGGGGTCCTGCTGGTACCAAGGCTCTGGATCCTAATAGGGTGAAGAAGAGAGGTCTGCTCTGAGTCCCTTCATGGTCACCAAAACAAAAAATTAACCTGTAAAAGCTGAGAGTCAAATTTATTCAGTGTCTTACTGAAGACTATAGCCCAGGAAACAGCCTCTCAGATAGCTCTGAGAAATTGTTCTGAGGAAGTAAGTGTGTGTGGGGGTCTGTATCAATGTGGTTTTGGCAAAGCGGGTATATGCAACCAAGCACACGTCTCGGTAGAAGGTTGTTAGTCATGAGGAACAGATATCTTACTTAATGGTTTTAGTGCTTTTCTAAGTATGGGAAGGTGCAAGAATTGGGGTTCATTAAATTTTCTCTTGAAAATATCTAATTAATTATCAAAAGGTCTGTTCTGCCAATTTTCCCAGAGCACAGAGTGCCTCATTCCTGATCTCCTCCCTGAATTGCTTTCGGGGTATGTTGGAGGTCAGCAGCTCCAGGGGCTAAGGACTCAATCCTTGTAGAACTGGATGGTGAGTGATATTCTTTAGCTGGCACTACAAACTGTAACATGGATTTCTAGGAAGGCAAATTACTGAAGGAGTCCCTCTCTAAATCAAAAGGTTGCTCCTCTTGGTATTTTCTAGGAATTCCAGGCAGAAAGAAATCTAGTATGAGGAATTAGGTACCTTCAAAATAACTAGAAGACATGACAGATCAAAGGTCAAAGAAAATTGCTGCCAAGTTTTTAGGAAATCAGGACACTGCAGAAATGATGAAATGATTTCAGTTTGCTGCATCCCTGAGGTAGATGACCCAGCTACCCCTTGTGATATTGTAATTCTTCCTTAATAATAAATATATATTTGTTCTACATCCCAGTTCCTGGCCCAGAGCTCCCAAAACCCTTGGAAGTTCCTAAGTGGTAAGTGTTAAAGATGTCTTTTGTTATTCATAACAAGTTCTTTTCACCCACAGCTGAGTTTGTTAATACAGGGACTTTTGGAAAGCACCTAAACCAGATGGAAAAAATCTCTTAAGAGGGTTGGAATTTTTAGCACCCCCAACCTCCTGGGAGGGGAGAGAGGCTGAAGATTGTGTTCAATCACCAATGGCCAATGATTTCATCAGTCAAGTCTAAGTAATGAAGCCTCTACCTGAGGCTACTATTTTCCCACATCTTGCCTTTTATGAATTTCTTCCATCTGGCTGTTGCTGACTTTTTGCCTTTTACAATAAACCAATAATCTAGTAAGTAAACAAAGAAATTTTCCCAGAGAGGACTGGCTTTCTTCTTTTAATTCCGCCTCCTGGCAAACATCATCACTGTCTCCAGAGCAGTGACGACTTCTGCTTCAAGTATCTTCAGAATGTCACAGGACACTTCTCATGGTAGAATCTAAGCTAGAAATCTTAGGCCAAGGGTGTTAAGAAAATTCATTGCCATTCTTCTTGTCCCTGAAAACTAGGAGAAAAAAACAGAAGAGTTGGGATGAATGATGGTTACAAAATAAGCTTGCAAAACACACACACACATACAAAGGAAACAAAACCCCACTTTGTGGCATGAAAGACCAACTGAAGGACAGGCAACCTCTCTTATGGGCTGATTCCTAGCCATAGGACTACACAGGGCCCAGAGAACGGGACTTAGTTTTCACTGAAACTTTGTCATCAGAATTATATAGGACACAATACCAGCTGCTGTCAATACCCTTAGGTCAAGCTTTTTAATTTTGTAGTTTAAATAATCTTCAATCTTACTGATTTAAGGCTGCTGTCATCATTAATTAATGAGAGAGAAATGTTGTATTATTTACTATAATGGTGGATTTTTTGTTTTCTTGTAATTTTGTTAAATTTACATATTTTAAAGTCACCATCTTCCTGGCGAATGAATATTTCATCAAAATGTAGTGATCCTATTTATCTCCAAAAATACTTTTTTTGCCCTAGAATCTACTTTATATGAGACTAATAGGGGCATACCAGCTGTCTTTGAAAAGTGTGTGACTGGCATATATTTATTCCATCTCATATTTCAATCTATGTTATTCCTTTTTTAAGTTGATGCCTTATAAGTAGCACTAGCTAGATTTTGTAGGATTTTTATTCAATCTGAAAATTCTTGAATAAAAATCCTACAAAATCTAGCTAATGCTATTGACAACAGCAAGTTTTTAAATCAGTGTAAATTCGCTGTTCTTTCCATTTCTTAAGAATTTGAAGCATTTAAATGAAGGTGAAAGTTTAATTCTTCTATTTTCTAATCTTTAAAACATTTGGGAAAAGTTGATTAGGAAGCTTTTACAATTTATAATTTCTAAATTTTGATGTATTCTTTGTAAAAGTACTGATTAGTGTTTTAGATAAATTTTGTTAAATAAAATTTATTATTATAATAAATGCAGCATTAAATGAAATGATAATAGTAGTACGTGATCTTTCACATGCAAAGCCCTTGGGGCATTTAAAGATCTTGGCAACAATTCTATTTGTCAGTCATGCCAGATATTATTGAGCAACATTGACAAGAATGGGCATCACTGTCTTATGCACGTCTTTAATGGAATGGCACTAGAGTTTCACTTTAGAAAGATTTTGCTATTTGTTCATTTGCTTGGTAAATTTCTACATTTGTTAATTTATAAGGAGTTTCCTTTTGAGGTAATTTAGAGTTTGTTTTCCATCACTGTATGGAATCTTACCAAATGCTCTTTTATGTATTGAAATTACTATATGATTTTTCTCCTTTAATGTGTGATATAATTAGTTCTCTTGGCAGATTTCCTGATAGTGAACTATCTTTGCATTACTCAAATTATCCCTGTTTGTTCATACAGTAGTTTACATAGTTATATACTGATGGATTTTACTTGATCATATTATATAGAAAATTTTTCCTTCTATATTCATTGATGAAATCTGTGTATCTTTACCTGGTTTTGCATTTAAGGTTCTTCTCAGTTTACAAAATAAATTTGGGGAGTTTCAGATTTAGTTAACGTCAGAAGCATCTAATTTTTAAAGGATTAGTAGGTTTTAAAGGCAAAACCATCTCACCTTGATGTTTGTCTTGATGTTTAATTTTATTTTTAAATCTTAGCTCTTTAATTACCTTTCCAATCTCTTCTATGATAATTTCACATCTTCTACTTCATGGATCACTTTGAGTATACTTCCTCTGGTTTTTGAAATTTCATACTATTGAGTTGATTATGGTATTTATTCTCTTACAATCCTGTCATCTCTTTCATAGCTACAATTATTTATCCAATTTTTACATTTTTAATACATGCTTTATACTTTTTTGCTAATTAAAAGGGCTTTAAATTTTTTCTTTATTTCAGTCTCTTTTCTTTAGTTATGAAGGCATTTAACACTATTCATTTTCCCCTGATTAAGGATTTGCTACATCTCATGTTTTGCCATATCGTGTTTCCATTTCATTGCTACATAAATGGTTCTGAATTTTATTTTGATATCCTCTTTCATCAAAGATCAAAGGATAAGAGGCTTGATTTTTAAATGAATTTAATATTTTTCTAATTTAAATTTTTATTAGAATATTATAAAAAATGCAGCCTACTATGTCTCTCTGCTTTTTAATATTGTGCTAAGTTTTCCTTGTGCCAAATGCATGACAGATTTTTGAATATATTCTAAGGGTATACAACACAATTATACTCTCTTTTTAAAGGATGTATGGAATCTATAAAAATAGTTTTGATGAGTGTATTATTTAATTCTGTGTTTATTTTTTTCTAATTTTCACTATTATCTGAAAGACTTCAATTAATATCTCATTAGAAGGTGAGTATTAATCAAGTGTTTGTATTTCTAATACTTTTTACCTTATATATTTAGATTCAGTGTTGTTTGGCCCCGAAAGATTTATGACTGTCATATCTTCCTTATAAATTATAGCTTTAGGGAGCAGAAAATATTCTCTTTATCCTATTTCAGTCTACATATTCAGTTCTACATTTAGTTCAGGGAAATTTTCTTCTATAATTGTTTAATTATTGCATTTTTTCCATCTGTTCCCCCCTTTTTTGCTGGAACACCTATTATTGGTGTATTAATTTGCCTGTATCTCTTTTCTCGGTATCTTATTTTTCCTATAAGATTTATAATTCTTTCATCTTTTGTGTTTTATCACTTGAATTTTCAGAAAACTAAGTCAAGTTTCAACAATGATTTCCTGCAACTACAATTCTGATATTTTTTTCCTTTTTAAAAAAAATTTCCAGGAAGTACAGAGTATCTTATCAAAGAGTTATTAGTACAGGAGCACATAACACTGAAATATTTAAAATACATGGCAAACAGCATTGGGAAGTATTTCCAACTAATTCTAAGGGTTCAATATCAGAGTTCCACTCCTTGAGGAACTGGAATAGGTGGCAAATTAAGTAATGAGCTTGTGCAATGGGGTATATGATAAGATACCAGTGGTCAAAGCTGGATTCAGAGCAGGGAGAGCATATTGAAAATTTGGCAGAAATCCTGTCATTACTATAGGGTAGGGGCAAAGATCAAAATTAGATAATCAGAAAGCTACACGTGTTGCTCTTTCTAAAGGATGGGCTACTGCTCTGTAGTGACTGCCCTGTATGGAGAATGAGATGACGACAAGTACCTAGAAATCCCAGTGTGGCAGAAGTCTGAGAATTAAACTGGCCCTGTCTGCTTCTAGGATAAAACTGTTCTCTAAAACCCATACACTAACGGACTTAGGGTTTGGAGGGCAGGTCAGCAAGGGTAGCTCCTTATTTATATGGGTCAGGCATATTTGATTGTTTGCAAGTGAAGGGCTGGGATATCATCCGTACTACAGTGGAGATAACCTTTGCCCAGCAACTCCAGAGTCTTCTCTGCACATGCTATTTACACAAGGTACACAGCTAAAGTAGAGTGTAACAGCTCTGTGAATGTCTGGAATAAGATAATGGTTCAAAATTGGACAGAGAAAGTAAAATGAGCATGGGGAAAATAAAGTTCACAGGACTTCCAACACTGCAGCTGCTATTCAAGGTGATGGGAGGAAATAAACCACCCCATGGTAGGAACAGAGGATGAACCTGTCCAGAGCAAGAGAGAAATGGCCTCTGTGGGAAAAGATTGGTTGCAGAAGCATTTGACAAGTGTCATCCATATTAACAGAAAGGTCAAGGAGAATGAAGGTATAGAGAAAACCTGAGAACAATTTGGAAATTTGTTTTTGATTTTAGGGGAATTCTGAAGTCATGAATAATACCAAGCTAGCAAGCATGTTTTTGCTGGTAGAATCAGCAAAAGAAAACAGAAGGTCAGTGTACTGATGAATGAAGATGGATTTCCTCATCCATCTGACAACAAATCTATGCTCCATGTGTTGTGCTCTGTGGCTGTCTCTGGGGCTATGATCAGTTATGAATGTTATTTCATCATATTCATGGCCTGTGGGGAGGAAATCCTATAGAAATGATTGGGATTACTGCACTGTGCACCTCACAGCTACATGCAGTTCATCAATAATCAAACACGATTTTCTTGCCACGGCCAACCTTCTAGGTGAATTATATGTAGGACACATTCAAATCAAATAGAAAGTGAGATCAGTGGAGTTCCATCTGGGCTTGAGATCCTGTGAAGGCCGTCATGTAATGAAGCATCCTCCAGGATGACATCTGAAACAATAGTTCCTCAGGTTGATGAGTTCAGTAATGACTCGCTCTGTTACTTCCTTCCAGGACTGATTAAAATAGCTCTTGAGTTCCTGAAAATACTGAAGTGTTTATAAATGAAGCAAACAGATGTCTGGTGAAAAACAAGACGGGGCACGCTCAGACAGGGGTGTCTGTATGGTGAAACGAATTCTCCTCAGCAAACTTGTGAATCAAAGTAGTTCTTTCATGTTGAATAATTCTGATTTTGTGAGAGCCTTCTCTCCAAGTAGGGTGATTGTAACGTCTATCTAGTGTAACTGGACCAATCTTAAGAATATACTTACTATTTATATCATTTACATTTTCATGAATAGAGTCTGCCAGGGTATACATCTTACCTAATCCTACATTCACTCAAAAATGACCGAATAAGCACCTACCATGTCAAAGTTTTAGTCTTAGTGGGTAAAATAAGCTAAATTAGATCTAGCCTTGGACCAGGAGGAGCACACAGACAGGAAGACAATTCATAGCCGTTACTCACCAAAATATGGTGTGCTGTGACATGAGAAAAGTATAAAGTATTGTAAAAGTCTGTTTTGTTTTTAAGCTGAAGAGAGATTTGAATAGGCTATTTTGAGGATAGGATACATAAACGAGACCAAAAAATGAAGATCTTCTATAAGAATAGATACTATGGAGAGAGAACGCAGGGGTGCAAGGAATGGAGAAATAATAGAATTATAAAACTGAAGAGACCACAAGGGGACATTTGATTGGGGTGATATGTATCCTGATCCAAAATAATTTCTATTAACTTCTGTAAAATTTGATTAATAATGATAATATTTTCCTTATTTTTATATGCCAGTATGTCTTTGTGGGCCATTGAGGACAGGGATCATGTATGTATTTACATTCCCACAGAAAATGCTTAGTATGTGACTGGACAGCAAAAATACTTGTCCAGTCAGAATGAATATAGAAGAGTGTGGTCTTAGAAATGGTAGGTGGGTGACCCCTCCTCTCATTACTTTTTGTCCCTTTTTCACATTGGAATAAGATTTGATTTCTGC